TGCATACCAAAAAGGGGATTTTCAAAGGACATTTCTTGTTAAACTATTTTTAGTAACAATAATTACTTATAATGGAGACACTTAACCACTAACAGTGGGAAAATCTCAAGATATAACTTAACAGTTTTAGAAATTTAAGTTAAAAATTAACCTATCTAATTTTTACTAAAGGAAGAAGAAAATAATTCTCTGAAGACCACACTTTTGTACAAGGCTATATAGTTTAAGGCAGCAGCATAATATGAAAAAGGTTTATTAAAGGGCTGGAAATTATCCTCAAATTAAAACATGTACAGCCTAGAGCTGTAATTAGGGCAAAGGTAAAGGAGAGATTCACAGAGCAATCCTGGCTGCTCCTGACTGCTCCTTGGATGCTGTCTTTGCTAATTCATTACCTTGCTTCCACTGTTAATTATGGGGCTCCCCAAGGCTTGATAATGACTCTTTTTCTTCTTTACCTTCCCTTCTATTTTATCCATTGCCTTATATAATTTTAACAATTCATATAGAGTTTCAGCTAACACTGATTGATACCTTCTGAATGCTAAACTCTGTGCTACGCATTTTTGAAGTTAACAGCAAACATTATATGCCTAGTTTCCTTGATTATTCTTTTCCACCAAACAGTTCCACATGACTTCATAGGCTCTTTCAAAAAACAATTCAGATGTGATGCAGTAGGAAGATAACTGAAAGTAAAGGGGTAGTGTTCTTGCCCCAGCTCTGTCCCTGATGAGCTATGTGTTCGGGAGCATGTCACAAATTTCTCCCTGTTTAAGTAAAATAAACATGTTGAACTAGATCAAGAGTTGCAAACTGATTGTCCACTGGACAAATTCAACATGCAGACATATTTGCTCCGCCTTCACAATGATTTAAAAATCTCGAAGATTAGGTAAAACTCTAGATTTCTGTCTTGTAAAAGTAGAATATCTAAGCCTAATTTATTTGATGGCAATAATTTACTGCAGCCAAGCAGCAGTTACCCCTTTAGGAAAGGCCTGTATTCTCTTGTTTCTTACAATCCCCAACATAACCTATTGTATTGTAAGTGCTCCTCTGAAGTCATTTATTTTACAGGACTTACTTCTTAGTCAGATGGCCAACTCAGCACACAAACGCACTGGATTGACTTCTAAATGTAGTTTATAATTTACTATATTTAAGGCTTCCTCCCCACCCTAGTTCAGGACCATAAGCATATATTTGAAGTCTATCTCAAATTTTTCAATATTAAATAAATTCATTTCTTTCACTGAGCCACTCAAACCTTTCTAAATTCTGTTTGAAAATTGTCATCATAGCTAAACCCCCAAACCTTTAAAATCTTGTTTTTACTTCTCTCCATAATTGCAAATGGTATAATATATAAGCTTATATACTTATATAATACTTATATATATATAAACATATAATATATATGTTTTATATAATTATATATAATCATATTTTTATATAATCATGTTTATATTTATAAATATAATTACATATAAAATATATATTATATATAATGTATATGTGTTATATAAAATACATATTTATAAATATAATTTATAAGTTTATATGTATTTATATATGTAATATAATACCTAATATATAATTATATAATATATATTATATTATAATAGATATACAACCATTGAACCATTAGAGTATTTTATATTTAAATAAAAAGAACTATAAAATATTTCTGTAGTGAAGATGTTAGCTGCTTTCCTAATATCCATTCACCCATGATGCACCCAGAAGAATATTATATATTATAATATTAAAAATAGACTATATACATATATAAGCAAATGATATAAACCCTTTCTCAGAAATTACAGTTTTCATTCTTTTATACCTAGGTTGCTATACCCAGAAAGAATAAAGTAAAGAATATCTTAGAAAAGAGTAAAGAATATCTAGAAGAAGAAAGAATATCTTAGAATATACTTCCTAAACCTCCCCATAACCAATTCATACATTGAAAATAAGAACATGTATATTCCTTATAAGTCTGTAAAACTTCTAACAACTTAGCGAATCTCTTAAAGAGCAATTGGGTTTTAAAGACTGTTGTAACAGAGACTAAAAATGACTATCCACGAGCCATTCACTCCTGCTTCCTTAGTCACAAAACTCAGATTTATTGTGGGTGCCAATGCAAGCAGCTAAAAAAACTACACTTTCCAGATGCTCTTTTTTTTACTTTAATGTTTTTGTTAATACATAATAGTTGTAGATTATGGTACATAATCTACATGTGATTATTTAATACATTTATATAATATATAAAATAAAAATCAGTAAAACTAAGATATTTATTACCTTAAAATTTGTCTTTATGCTAAAAACAGTTGAATTGTTTTCTCCTAGATATTTTGAAATACATAATAGATTATTGTAAACTATTGTCACTCTACAGATCTATCAAACACTAGGTCTTATTTCTACTGCCAAACTGTATAATTGTACCCATTAATCAACGTCTCTTTATTCTCTCCCCTCCCTGCACCCTTCCCACCCTCTGGTAACCACCAATCTACTCTTAATCTTCATGAAATCACTCTTTTAGCTCCCACATGTGAGTGAGAACATGTGATGTTTGTCTTTCTGTGTTTGGCTTATTTCTCTTAACATAATGACCTTCAGTTCCATCCATGCTGCTGCAAATTATAGGACTTTATTTTTTATGGCTGGATAATATTCCACTGTATATATACATTCCATTGTTTATATACACCACATTTTTTTAGCCATTCATCCATTGATGGACAGTTATATTGACTCCATGTTTTGACTATAATAAATATGAGAGTACAGATACTGCTTCAAAATATTGATTTTTTTTCCTTTGAATATATACCCAGTGATGAAATTACTGAACTATATAGTAGTTTAATTTTTCCTATTCTGAAAAACCTCCATTTCATAGTGGCTGTGCTAATTTACACATCTACCAATAGTTTATAAGGGTTCTCATTTCTCCATAGCATGTCTTTTTGATAAAAGCTATTTTAACTGGGGTGAAATGATATATCATTATAGTTTTGATTTGCATTTCTCTTATGATTAGTGATGTGGAGGATTTTTTCATGCTTGTTTGTCATTTGTATGTCTTCTTTTTAAAAATGTCTCTTCTGACCAGGCACAGTGGCTCACGCCTGTAATCCCAGCAGTTTGGCAGGCCAAGGTGGGTAGATCGCTTGAGGTCAGGAGTTCAACATCAGGCTAGCCAACATGGTGAAGGCCAACTCTACTAAAAACACAAAAATTAGTTGGATGTAGTGGTGTACACCTGTAATCCCAGCTACTTGGGAGGCTGAGGCAGGAGAATCGCTTGAACCCAGGAGATGGAGGTTGCAGTGAGCCAAGATCAGGCAAATGCACTCCAGTCTAGGTGACAGAGCAAGACTCATTCTCAAATAAATAAATGAATAAATAAATAAATAAATAAATAAATAAAAAAAATGTCTGTTCAGATCTTTTGACTATTTTTTTTTTTTTGAGACGGAGTTTCGGTCTTGTTACCCATGCTGGAGTGCAATGGCGCGATCTCGGCTCACCGCAACCTCCACCTCCTGGGTTCAGGCAATTCTCCTGCCTCAGCCTCCTGAGTAGCTGGGATTACAGGCACACGCCACCATGCCCAGCTAATTTTTTGTATTTTTAGTAGAGATGGGGTTTCACCATGTTGACCAGGATGGTCTCGATCTCTTGACCTCGTGATCCACCCGCCTCGGCCTCCCGAAGTGCTGGGATTACAGGCTTGAGCCACCGCGCCGGGCTTTTTTGACTATTTTTAAATTGGATTGTTTTCTTCTATTGAGTTGTTTTAACTCCTTATATATTCTGGTTATTTATCTCTTGTCACATGGGTAGTTTACAAATATTTTCTCCCATCCTGTGGACTGTCTCCTCACTTAGTTGACTGATTCCTTTGCTGTACAGAAGAGTTTCAGCTTGACTAATCCCATCGGTCTATTTTTGCTTTAGTTAGTTGTCTGTTCTTTTGAGGTCTTACCCCCCCAAAAATCTGCCCACACTAATGTGCTGGAGCATTTCTTCAATGTTTTCTTCTAGTAGTTTCATAGTTTTGGGTCTTAGATTTAAGTCTGTAACCCATTTTAATTTGATTTTTGTATATCCTGAGAGCTAGGGGGTCCAGTCTTACTCTTCTGTATGTGGTTAACCAGATTTCTAAGCACCATTTGTTGAATAGACTCTCCTTTGCCGTATCGTATGTTCTCAGCATCTTTGTTCAAAATGAATTGGCTGTAAACATAAGGATGTGTGTCTGGGTTTTTATTCTGTTCCATTGATCTGTGTTTTTATGCCAGTACCAGGCCAATTTGGTTACCATAGCTTTGTAGTATGTTTTGAAGCCAGGTAGTATGATGCCTCCAGATTGCTCAGGATTGCTTTGGCTATTCATGGTCTTTTGTAGTTGTATATAATTTTTAGAATTGTTTTCATTTTTTCTTTTCAATGAAGCATGTCATTAGTATTTTGATAGGAATTGCACTGATTCTGCAAGTTGCTTTGGCTAGTACTGTCATTTTAACAATACTAATTTGACATCATTCTTTCCAATTTGGATGCCCTTTATTTCTTTCTATTGCCTAATTGCTCTGGTCAGGACTTCCAGTACTATGTTGAATAAAAGTTGTGCATGTGGGCATGCTTATCTTGCTCCAGATCTTAGAAGAAAGGCTTTCCATTTTCCCCTTTTTGGTACAATGTTAGCTGTGGGTTTGGCACATGTGGAGTTTGTTATTCTGAGATATGTTTTTTTTCTATACCTAGTTTGTTGAGGATTTTTATTTATAAGGTGATGTTGAAATTTATCAAATGCTTTTTAGCATATATTGAAATGATCATATGGTTTTCATTCTTGGTTCTGTTAATGTGATGTGTTAAATTTATTGATTTGCATATGTTGAACCATTCTTGTATCCCTGGGCTGAATACCACTTGATCATGGTGAATGATGTTTTTTTTTTTTATGTTTTTTATTTTCACTAGTTTTATTTATATTAGGTAGTTTTCACTCAGAATATCAATTCGTTTTTCAGGTTTAGATGTATGTGTATGTATCTGTTCATATGCATCAATCACTTAGAAACTTTATTTGGTATAACTTCACATTTTTGGTATAGAGAAATAATTTTATTTTCTTAATGCAGCACAGTAGACATATAATCAATATTATTTCCTAGTGTGCAATATATAAATTATTCACATTAAAAAATTAAGAACAGAAAGCCTCTTATGCAGGAAATATTTAAAAATGTATATCTAACTTTGCCTGTTTTCTGACAATATACACTACTAGCTTTATAAATCTGAATGAATATGACATTTACATATTTGAGTGAAGTACACAGATGGGTCCATTCCGGATGCTAATTACACTATATGAATAATTTGCTCTTCACTTTGGTCATTGAGATTCCACGTGCTCAGGCATATAGTGGATCCAAAAGACACTTCCAGAAGTACATTTATTACACTGGCATCTTAAGAATTTCTGTTCCTTTTATTCTCCTTTATAGCGAGGGGGCCTTTTCTCTTTAAAAGCAAGAAGACCTTCAAGTCTGTCTTTCGTTGGAATGGTCTGAGCATAACAAGCTTCTTCCATGGCTAACCCTGTTACTAAATCGACCTCCATGCCTTGATTAATTGCTAATTTTGCCACTCTCACTGCAACAGGTCCCTGAGGTAAAAACTCTCTTGCCAGGTCCAGGGCCTTTCTGTAGGCAGCATCTCCCTCCTGGTTCTGTTCCAGAACATGGCTGATTAAGCCCACTGCTTTGGCTTCCTGGCCATCAAGGACTCGCGCAGAGAATATGAGCTCCTTGGCCAGGGACATTCCAATGGCACGTGGCAATCGCTGTGTCCCCACTCCACCAGAAATAATTGCCAATTTTGTTTCAACCAGGCCCATTTTTGCAGAGGAAGCTGCTACTCGTATATCACAAGCTAAAGCCAGTTCAAGACCACCACCTAAAGCGAGTCCATCTATTGCTGCAATCATTGGCACTGGAAGATTAGCAATATCATTAATCACTGCTCTTATTTTGGAGACAAAAGGACCAACTTCACTGGAACTCATTTTGGCTCTTTCCTTAAGGTCAGCACCAGCACGAAATATCCCTGGGACTTCACTCCTGATTATTATGGTCCGTACTTTCTTATCAGATTTCAAAGCATCCACAGCTTTTGATAGCATTTTTATAAGATTTTTACTGAGTGAATTTTTGCCATAAGCTCTGTTTATTCCAAGCACCACAATTCCTCGGTTCTCGTCCTCCAGGTGCCGCACCCGTAGTTCGTCCTCCGTCTTCACCTCAGAGCTGTAGCCCCTTCTTGGTGCGGGACCCCCGGCCACAGGCACCCAGCTCTGGGCCCAGATCGCCTGGCCCACCCGCCGGCCTGCCAACGAGCTGGGAAACCTCAACCCCTGGCAGAGCCGCGCATTACAAGCAGCTACTAGGCGGACGCCGCCAGCATGCAGGGATCCCAACGTCCCGGGTGCCGTCGCCACCGCGGCCGCCATGTTGTCTGTTTACGGCCAGTGAATGATGTTTTTAATGTTGTATTACTCTGTTTCTTTTCTTTTCTCTTTTTTGTTTCTCTTTTTTTTTTTTTTTTTTTTGCATTGCAATAAAGAAGTTAATTGAATTATGGTTCTATAGGCTGTATAGAAAGCATGACACTGGCATCTGTTCCTTATGAGGGCCTCAGGAAGCTTCCAATAATGGTGGAAGGCAAAGGGGGAGCAGGTGTCTCACATGGTGAGGGTGGGAGTGAGAGAGCAATATGGGAGATCCTTGACTCTTTTCAACAACCAAATATTGAGTCAACTAACTGAGCAAGAACTGACTCATCATCAAGGTGAGGCCACTAAGCCATTCAGGAGGAATCTGCCCTATGATCAATACCTCTCACTAGGCCCCACCTTAAACAATGGAGATTTGGAGGGAACAAACGTCCAAACCATATGAGATGTGTTGCTGAATTTGGATTGCTAGTATTTTGTTGAGGATATTTGCATCTGTGTTCATCAGTGATACTGACTGCAGTTTTCTTTTTGTTGTTGCATCTGATTTTAGTGTCTGATTTTAGTATCAGAGTAATGCTGGCCTTGTAGAATGAGTTTGGAAGTATTCCTTCCTGTTCAATTTTTTGGAAGAGTTTGAGTAGAATTGGTATTATTTAAATTATTGATAGAATTCATCGGTGAAGCCATCAGATCCCAGGCTTTTATTTTATGGGAGATTTTTTTTATTAGGTTTTGACCTTGTTACTCATTTTTTTGTCATTGTTGCTGAGGTTTTCTACTCCTTTATGGTTCAATCTTAGTAAGCTGTATGTTTACAAGAATTTACCAATTTCTTCTAGGTTTTCCAGTTTATTGGTGTAATAATCTCTAAAGGTTCTTTGGATTTCTGTGGTGTCAGTTATTATATCTCCTTTTTTTTCTGACTTTACTTATTTGGGAAATCTCTCTTTTTTTAATTAACCTAACTAAAGGCTTGTCAATTTTGTCTTTTCAAGAGACCAAAACAGACTAAAAATCAATCAATCTAGAAGATCAACAAAATGAAAAGTAGTTTTTTTGAAAAGATAGGGGTTGACAAAACTTTAGCTAGATTAAACAAAGGTAGACTCTCATCTCCACCTATTCCATCTTCCTAATACACGTTGAGCATCCCTAATTTGAAATCCTATATCTGAAATGCTTCAAAATCTGAAACACTTCAAAATCCAAAATACTTAGTGTGCCAACATGATGTCACAAATAGAAAAGCTGACACCTGACCTCATTTTATAAAATTAGCTTCAGGCTTTGTGTATAAGATATATATGAAATATAAATAAATTTTGTGTTCAGACTTGGGACTCATTCCAAAGTTATCCATCATAGGTATATGCAAATATTCCAAAATGCAAACATTCAAAAACTCCTTTTCATTTTCTCTACTCAACTGACGATTACTCTCCTTTTCTCAAAACTCTTTATACCTCATCTTGTCTATTAAAACTTTCTCAGTTAAGAATATCAAGCCCCTTGCCACTCCACTTATCCTAGGAACCCCTCTACCCCTCACATTGCAAGCTTCTTTCATAGTTACTTTCTTATCACTGAGGCTTAAATGCTTTACATAATGGATCAGAATCAAAAAGTAGGAGAGGACTTTGGTATAGGGCAACAGAAAGTGCTGGAAGCAATCAAGGAAAGAGTTCAGGGAAGGAAGAAGACTTCAGTTGCTTCTCAATTCACTGTGAGGAGTTTTGTTTTGTTTTGTTTTAACCCATGAAGACTCTTTATCTCCTTAGGATTAAAAAAAAAACATAAAGAGGAAGAATCTGAGGAAAGATAATTCCAATTAGAAGAGTCTGACTAGGGTTAAAAGAGGCACTTCTTTTTTTTTTTTTTTTTGAGACAGAGTCTTACTCTGTCACCCAGGCTGGAGTGCAGTGGCCCAATCTCAGCTCACTGCAACCTGTACCTCCCAAGTTCAAGCCATTCTCCTGCTTCAGCCTCCCAAGTAGCTGGGACCATAGGCCCCACCACCATGCCTAGCTGATTTTTGTATTTTTCGTAGAGACAGGGGTTTCACAAATGTTGGCTAAACTGGTCTTGAACTCCAGACCTCACCTTGGCCTCCCAAAGTGCTGGGATTAGAGGCTTGAGCCACCGTGCTCGGCCAAAAGAGGCATTTCTAACATATGGAGTGGAATAAAAACTGTTCCTACAGGGCATTTTCAGTATTCCTATAAGTTTTAACATTGTCCTTGAGTCTGGAATGTAGATTGAGCCTCAGCTCAACACCCAGAACCAACCCCCATTCTCACAAAGTCCATGGTCTACAGGAGAATATCCTTAGGCCTGTCTTTGCTCATCTTATCACTGGACTCTTAAGAGTTTACTGAGCCTTAATCCCAGCACGGTGGGAGGCCGAGGTGGGTGGATAACGAGATCAAGTGATCGAGACCATCCTGGTCAACATGGTGAAACCCCGTCTCTACTAAAAATACAAAAAATTAGCTGGGCATGGTGGCATGTGCCTGTAATCCCAGCTACTCAGGAGGCTGAGGCAGGAGAATTGCCTGAACCCAGGAGGCAGAGGTTGCTGTGAGCCGAGATCGCGCCATTGCACTCCAGCCTGGGTAACAAGAGCAAAACTCCATCTCAAAAAAAAAAAAAAAAAAGAGTTTACTGAGCTTAATATGCTTTCTTTAAATCCTACTTCTCAGGTCATCTTTAGTTTCTCAGAAAACAATGTAGGCAATGAGAACAAGTAGCCGCCTTGCCTCTAACTTCTCTGCCCTCCCTGCCATTCTGGTCGCATTATAGTAAAATCTATTACAAAAATCCCTTTCACCATCTCTTCTATTTAAAAGCAGTTACTCTGTTGCCTGCCAGTCAAGTAGAATGTCACAAAGGCCACCATCAAAGAAAGTAAAAATGACATAACAAGATCCACAATAGAAAAGGATAAAACTAATGAGCCACTGACCTTAATACATTTATGTATCCCAGGGTTAGTTATGTGAAATTCCTTGAAACTTCCCCACTTTGAGTTATTAAAGAGACAGTTTATTGGTTGAGTCATTAAGCCTTTTTAAAATATTCATGGGAAGCAACATAGTTACTATGTCTTGGAATTTTATTCAGACTATGAAAGAGCATCAGGGTTGAATATGAAATATTAGGATGTCCCAATAGGGATAAACGCAACACAGAAAATATGAAAGTGGGTGGGGATGGTCAGAGATCCAGGCCACAGGTGGTATCAAGCAGGCTGTCAGCAAGTAGCCAAGCCCAGCCACTTTTTTTTTTTTTTGGAAACTCTCAGCCAAGACTCTAATCACTGGCACAGCATTAGTTAAGCTTTTTTCAAAATTGAAGATACATAAAATTTAATGCAAATTTGTTTAGGCAAAGTAGAAAATAAACTGGTTCAGAGTTGGCTTAAGACATGGCTGCTTGAAAGGACCCAAATTGATATTACCAAATGTTCTCCATCTGTTTACCTCTCTTGGCTCTACTCTCCTCTGTATATTGGCTTCATTTTTTTAACAGTCACTTTCAATGTCATCGAAATGGTTGCTGAAGCTCTAGACCATGCACCTTCTTCTATCTTAGCTTGCATAAACTAAAGCATGGGTTTTCTGGTAGATCCTACAAAAGTGTTATCCTTCTGACTCTGATAGAAACTGCCTGTGTCACATGCCTGGCTTTAAACCAATGACAAAGGCTTGTGAAACATGAATGACAGAATTGGGTCATGTGTTCAGGCATGGGATGTGATTATTGAAGAATGCAAAGTGGGTAAGAGATTATCCATAAATAAATACTCACTACACAGATACTGGGCCCCAGTTCTGGGAAAGTGGGTATATGGACAAAAAGCAAAGATAAGAGCACCCAGAAGAGCAGAAGACAAAAATTATTTTCTCAAAATTTTCAACAAGATTGAAGCCTAGTTATTACAATAGTGACAAAAAGTCAACAGCAGAGTAACAGCCATAAATGACTTAGGTAAAACTCCATAACTCCATTATGGAGGATTTGTCCTAGTTTCTGGTAAGGTATGGTCATGTTACCCTATTTATGGCAAGAGAGGCACCTCAGAGGCAGGCCTGCTATTCTTCTGATGAAGAATGGAGTAGACTCAAACTGGGTCCCAAGGAAGAAAGATTAGCTTCATCCAGTTTACTTAAACCCTGGATCCACCCAATTCCTTGTCAATGAGTATAAGGAAACAGTGACCAGCCACTCAGTTTTTATGACCCGAAGAAAAGTCCTTGTGAAGAAAGTGATGGTTCCATGCAAGGTCATGAAATTGTAAAAACTTTGCAAATTCTACCCAAACTACAAAATAATGAATAAACAAATTAAACCAAGTGCATAGGAGAGCAACTGAACGCCTCAATTTGAATTCTGAATGTGTGTCTTATCCCCATTCCTACTTTTGAGATGCAAATCAAAAGTTTGATAGAAAAGGGCACTCAGTAACTGCCCTTGTCTTGTGTCAGCTGGGGGCTGCCTAATGGATGATGACAGCCTGACCCCTCTCCTGGACAGCGTCGTGACAGGTCTGGATACTTGAAATCGTCAGCTTCCAGAGGCAAGGTTCCAAGCATGAGCAAAACACAGGCCATGTGCAGCAGGCAGCATGCTACATCCCAAAAGCAGCAACTGAATGGGACAGGGAAGGGGGTGACTTGTGTTCAGATCCTGATTCCCACACTAAGCTTAAATCTAGCATACACAAGTACATGCATACTGCCAGCAGAGCCTTAAAGAGTGCTGTCAGGGCCCTTCCCAACTGGACCCTCTGTCCTTGTTGGAACAGATTCTCTAACTCTCCCTGGGACAAGGCAGGTCCTTATTCCAGCCAGTCACTGCTGATTGCATTTCATCCCACAGTTCTACATGGAATATCTGAATTCCATTCTAACAAACTAATTTTTAATTTAGTATTCTCATTCTAACTAGATTTGCTTTTATATCTCTAGATTGGTTTGAAAAATCAAGTAGTCTTACCATAAATCTGAGTAT